TTGTGACTGTAATTTGACAAAAGCTGGATCCCTTCTAGCGATGTTCCCAAAGCCCTAGGGCCTCATTTATAAACTGCGTACATACAGAATATACCACAAAACATGCGTGCGCCAGTTTCCACGCAAAAGTTGGCACTTATAAAAACTGAACTTGACGTGAGAATGTGTTCACCTTTCCGCAAACTTTAGACCAGGGCTCTCCAATCCTGTTCCTGGAGAGCTACTGTCCTGCGGGTTTTCACTCCAACCCTAATGTAGCACACCTGATTCTAATAATGATCTGGTTGATAAACTCTATCATGTTAGTTACAAGCAGGGTTGGAGCAAAAACGTACAGGAGGGTAGCTCTCCAGGAACAGGAGACCTCTGCTTTAGACCATACCTACGCACAGTTTCTAGTGGTTGTGTATTGCATTGCAAGCAGGCAATCAGCCTAGTATTTCGTGCAAAAGGGAATAAGATGGACACGTTTGTTCGAAAAACTTTCAACAGGTTAGTAACAAGATCCAATCGTTTGCAGCTGGTGAGAAGAGAGAACATACATTTTTTGTTTGTCTTTGCATTCTAAAATAATTAGAAATCTATTTCCTAGGCTATGTTGTTTTTATTTCCATGATCAGAATACATTCCTCACCTTTTCTGTGATGGGTTCATACTCACGAGGTAGTCTGTAGGCCTACAATAAGTTAGGATACCATTCTTCCCCGTCTCTCGTTTAATTGGACCTACTTCACAGTAGTATACATACGTGCTATTTCAAGTATTTGTGCTCTATGCCTCCTGATCTGGAGCGCAGTTTATTAACGATGGAACTGACTATTGTTAGCTTCTTCTGTCTGTATGTATTAATGTAGTTAATTGTAATAAAAATGTCTCAAGTAGACAATATTTCATTTGTAAATAATATATATATATATAATACATTTTTGTGACCTAAATTCCTCACCTTTTCTGGCCATGATGGGTTCATATTGCGAAGTATCCTACAAATTACCATGCGCATCTCTCATATTTTAATTGGGCCTATTAGATAACTATTTTTGCTCTATGAATAAGATGGGGAGCGTGGTTTTATAACATACAGGTGAACTGACAGTTTGCATTGAAGTGTGCACGGCTACCACTGTAAGTGGGCTCCCGAGTGGCGCAGCATCTCAGTGCTTGAGGCGTCACTACAGACCCCCTGGTTCGATTCCAGGCTGTATCACAACCGGCCGTGATTGGGAGTCCCATAGGGCATTGGCCGGTGTAGGCCGTCATTGTAAATAAGAGTTTGTTCTTAACTGACTTGCCTAGTTAAATAAAAAAAATATAAATAAGTAGACAATGTTTCAGAATTCGCGGGCAATGCAACATCGGTTAGAGGGAAACAAGCGAAACATTAGGCCCTAAATGATCAAACAATCAATTTTTTTTTTTTGTCTTTCAGAAACATCTTTGTTTGTCAGATAGCCTAGGCCTACTGCAAAAGTTAAACTCTGCCATCAAATCAAATGTTATTTGTCACATGCGCCGAATACAACAGGTGTAGACCTTACTGTGAAATGCTTACAAGCCCTTAACCAACAATGCAGTTTTAAGAAAATAGTTACTAAATAAACAAAAGAAAAAAAAGTAACACAATAAAATAACAATAATGAGGCTATATACAGGGGGTAACGGTACAGAGTCAATGTGCGGTGGTACAGGTTAGTCGAGGTAATTTGTACATGTAGGTAGGGGTAAAGTGACTGCATAGATAATAAACAGCGAGTTGCAGCAGTGTAGAAAGTGCTGCAAATAGTCTGGGTGGCCATTTTATTAATTGTTCAGGAGTCTTATGGCTTGGGGGTAGAAGCTGTTAAGGAGCCTTTTGGACCTAGACTTGGTGCTGCGGTACCGCTTGCTGTGCAGTCTTATGACTTGGGTGACTGGAGTCTTTGACCATTTTTTGGGCCTTCCTCTGACACCGCCTAGTATATAGGTCCTGGATAGCTGGATAGCTGTGGTCCTCTGTAGCTCAGCTGGTAGAGCACGGCGCTTGCAACGCCAAGGTAGTGGGTTCGATCCCCGGGACCACCCATACACAAAAAAAAAAATGTATGCACGCATGACTGTAAGTCGCTTTGGATAAAAGCGTCTGCTAAATGGCTTATTATTATTAATTATTATTATTATTATTATTATTATTATTATTATTATTATTATAGCAGGAAGCTTGGCCCCAGTGATGTACAGGGATGTACGCACTACCCTCTGTAGCGCCTTACGGTCGGATGCCGAGCAGTTGCCATACCAGGCAGTGATGCAACCGGTCAGGATGCTCTCGATGGTGCAGCTGTATAACTTTTTGAGGATCTGGGGACCCGTGCCAAATCTTTTCAATCTCCTGAGGGGGAAAAGGCGTTGTCATGCCCTCTTTACGACTTTCTTGGTGTGTTTGGACCATGATAGTTTGTTGGTGATGTGGACACCAAGGAACTTGAAACTCTCGACCCGCTCCACTACAGCCCTGTCGATGTGATGGGGGCGTGTTTGGCCCTCCTGATCATCTCCTTTGTCTTGCTCACGTTGAGGGAGAGGTTGTTGTCCTGGCATCACACTGCCAGGTCGCTGACATCCTCCCTGTAGGCTGTCTTGTCGGTGATCAGGCCTACCACCGTTGTGTCGTCAGCAAACTTAATGATGGTGTTGGAGTCGTGCTTGGCCACACAGTCGTGGCTGAACAGGGAGTACAGGAGGGGACTAAGCACGCACCCCTGAGGGGCACCCGTGTTGAGGATCAGTGTGGCAGATGTGTTGTTGCCTACCCATACCACATGGGGGTGGTCCATCAGGAAGTCCAGGATCCAGTTGCAGAGGGAGGTGTTTAGGCCCAGGGTCCCTAGCATAGTGATGAGTGTTGTGGGCACTATGGTGTTGAACGCTGAGCTGTAGTCAATGAACAGCATTCTCACATAGGTGTTCCTTTTGTCCAGGTGGGAAAGGGCAGTGTGGAGTGTGATTGAGATTGCGTCATCTGTGTATCTGTTGGGGCGGTATGCGAATTGGAGTGGGTCTAGGGTTTCCGGGTTGATGGTGTTGATGTGAGCCATGACCAGCCTTTCAAAGCACTTCATGGCTACAGACGTGAGTGCAACGGGCGGTAGTCATTTAGGCAGGTTAACTTCGCTTTCTTGGGCACAGGGACTATGGTGGTCTGCTTGAAACATGTAGGTATTACAGACTCAGTCAGGGAAAGGTTGAAAATGTCAGTGAAGACACTTGCGAGTTGGTCCGCGCATGCTCGGAGTACACGTCCTGGTAATCCGTCTGGCCCCGCGGCCTTGTGAATGTTGACCTGTTTAAAGGTCTTGCTCACATTGGTAATGGAGAGGGTAATCACACAGTCGTCCGGAACAGCTGGTGCTCTCATGCATGCTTCAGTGTTGCTTGCCTCGAAGCGAGCTTAAAGGGCATTTAGCCCTTCTGGTACGCTCGTGTCACTGGGCAGCTCGCGGCTGGGTTTCCCTTTGTAATCCGTAATAGTTTGCAAGCCCTGCCACATCCGACGAGTGTCAGAGCCGGTGTAGTAGGATTCAATCTTAGTCCTGTATTAACGTTTTGCCTGTTTTGATGGTTTGTCTAAGGGCATAGCGGGATTTCTTATAAGCATCCGGATTAGTGTCCCGCTCCTTGAAAGCGGCAGCTCTAGCCTTTAGCTCGGTGAGGATGTTGCCTGTAATCCATGGCTTCTGGTTGGAATATGTACGTACGGTCACTGTGGGGACGACGTCGTCGATGCACTTATTGATGAAGCCGGTGACTGAGGTGGTATACTACTCAATGCCATTCGATGAATCCCGGAACATATTCCAGTCTGTGCTAGCAAAGCAGTCCTGTAGCGTAGCATCCACGTCATTTGACCACTTCCGTATTATTATTATTTTTTCTCTGGTTGCACGTGACAAGCTGGTAGAAATGAGGTAAAATGGATTGAAGTTTGCCTGCATTAAAGTCCCCGGCCGAGTAGGAGCGCCGCTTCTGGATGAGAATTTTCTTGTTTGCTTATACAGCTCATTGAGTGCGGTCTTAGTGCCCGCGTCTGTTTGTGGTGGTAAATAGACGGCTACGAAAAATATAGATGAAATCTCTCATCATGAGGTACTCTATCTCAGGCGAGCAAAACCTCGAGACTACCTTTAATATTAGACATCGCACACCAGCTGTTACTGACAAATGTACACACACACCCCCACCTCTCGTCTTACAAGACGTAGCTGTTCTGTCCTGCCGATGCACGGAAAACCCAGCCAACTGTATATTATCCGTGTCGTTGTTCAGCCACGACTCGGTGAAACGTAAGATGTTACAGTTTTTAATGTCCCATTGGTAGGATAGTCTCGAACGGAGCTCATCCAGTTTATTCTCCAGTGATTGCACGTTGGCTAATAGAACGGATGGTAGAGGCGGGTTACCCACTCGTCGAGGAATTCTCCCAAGGCACCCTGATCTCCGCCCCCTGTATCTCCTTATTTTCTTCATGTGAATGACAGGGATTTGGGCCTTGTCCGGGAGCAACATTATATCCTTCGCGTCAGACTCATTAAAGAAAAAAACCTCAAGACATTTGATCAAGTTCACCATTGCTATTTCCTTTAGAAACTGCCTCGGACTAATTCCAATATTTCTAATCAAATTTGTATTTGTCACATGCGCCGAATACAACTGGTGTAGGCCTTACCGTGAAATGCTTACTCACAAGCCCTTAATCAACAATGCATGTTTTTTTTTTTTTTTTTTTGTAAGTAGGTAAGAAAATATTTCCTAACATTGGCAGTAGAATGGCCTTACTGAAGAGCTCAGTGACTTTCTACGTGGCACGGCCATAGGAGGCAAACCAGGTATTCAAAAAGTTTAGTCCGAAGTGTTGGTTAGGAGGCTATTTGTCATGCGCAATTGTCATCGTGCGCTGTTTGCATCAGTGGCGTAGACATCAATGGGCCTGGGTGGACAGAGGCCCACCCACAGAGGAGCCAGACCCGGAGAAGGCCCACCCACAGAGGAGCCAGACCCGGAGAAGGCCCACCCACAGAGGAGCCAGACCCGGAGAAGGCCCACCCACAGAGGAGCCAGACCCGGAGAAGGCCCACCCACAGAAGGCCCACCCACAGAGGAGCCAGACCCAGACAGGCCACCTACAGAGGAGCCAGACCCAGACAGGCCACCTACAGAGGAGCCAGACCCGGAGAAGGCCCACCCACAGAGGAGCCAGACCCGGAGAAGGCCCACCTACAGAGGAGCCAGACCCCGGGGAAGGCCCACCTACAGAGGAGCCAGACCCGGAGAAGGCCCACCTACAGAGGAGCCAGACCCAGACAGGCCCACCTACAGAGGAGCCAGACCCAGACAGGCCCACCCACAGAGGAGCCAGACCCAGACAGGCCACCTACAGAGGAGCCAGACCCAGACAGGCCCACCCACAGAGGAGCCAGACCCAGACAGGCCCACCCACAGAGGAGCCAGACCCAGACAGGCCACCTACAGAGGAGCCAGACCCGGAGAAGGCCCACCCACAGAGGAGCCAGACCCAGACAGGCCACCCACAGAGGAGCCAGACCCAGACAGGCCCACCCACAGAGGAGCCAGACCCAGACAGGCCACCTACAGAGGAGCCAGACCCAGACAGGCCCACCCACAGAGGAGCCAGACCCAGACAGGCCCACCCACAGAGGAGCCAGACCCAGACAGGCCACCTACAGAGGAGCCAGACCCGGAGAAGGCCCACCCACAGAGGAGCCAGACCCAGACAGGCCCACCCACAGAGGAGCCAGACCAGAGAAGGCCCACCCACAGAGGAGCCAGACCCAGAGAAGGCCCACCCACAGAGGAGCCAGACCCGGACAGGCCCACCCACAGAGGAGCCAGACCCGGAGAAGGCCCACCCACAGAGGAGCCAGACCCGGAGAAGGCCCACCCACAGAGGAGCCAGACCCAGACAGGCCACCCACAGAGGAGCCAGACCCGGAGAAGGCCCACCCACAGAGGAGCCAGACCCAGACAGGCCCACCCACAGAGGAGCCAGACCCGGAGAAGGCCCACCCACAGAGGAGCCAGACCCGGAGAAGGCCCACCCACAGAGGAGCCAGACCCAGACAGGACAATCCTACAGAGGAGCCAGACCCAGACAGGCCACCCACAGAGGAGCCAGACCCGGAGAAGGCCCACCCACAGAGGAGCCAGACCCAGACAGGACAATCCTATTGATGTGGTTTAAGCATTGTTGTGGACTTAGACAATCAAATGTTTATATTCTTTATTTTTGAGAGTGAAAGAGAAAGAAAACATTTTTAAAAAGCAGGAAAATATAGGATTTTTCAGACCGGGTGATTTTCCTTTGCAGGGTGTTTGGAAACTTTTTGACCAAATTAGAGTATACTTCTCCAGGCACCACTTCACCGCTGCATAGTTAACTTCTCCAGGCACCACTTCACCGCTGCATAGTTAAAGGATAAACAGTCCATAAACTCTGACGTAATAAGCCAGTAGGTCCCAATCAGAAGAATACAAAAACACGACCATTAAGCATTTCCCAATCGAAATGTACAACTATTACTTCCCATTCCAAAAAACATTTCATGTTTTAGCACACAAAGTAACCGGTGACCTAAAGTTTGTTTGCTGAATTCATTCGGGATGCACTGTTTCAGTTTCAACGACTCAATATTCTGGACAAAATAGTTGGGAAGAGATTTTTGTTGTGCCGATTCCATGGTACAGGGTGTATGAGTTGATATATATAAAACGACGCAAGATTCAAGACTTTGTGCTTTTCAGCTAAAATTATTATACAGAATTCTTGCCACCAACAAAATGTTGAATATTTGGGGGCATACAATCATCGAAGCTCTGCAGATTTTGTTGTGGGGATACAGAATCAATAGACCATTTATTTTGGTGTTGCCCTCAGGGAGCCTGTTTCTGGTCTCAGGTTCAGGAATGGCTGAAAATGCATAACATTGATCTAAAATTGGATGGAATTATAATTTTTCTCAGGAGGGGACTGTGGGGGGTCTCAGATGGTTGAGGGGCAACTCTTGGGGTACTGTGGGGGGGGGGGGATCATGGATCGCTGGTTCAGTTCCCCGTTTTTTGACCTTGTGGGAGATCTGTCGACGTGCCCTTGAGCAAGGCGTTGACCCTGGTTGCTTCTGTGTGTCGCGCTGGTTGGGAGTCTGTTAGATGACTAATGTGATGTAGATGTTGAGCGGCTTCACTGCCAGTAGACTGTATGTTTTAAATATTAAATAAATAAATACAATTTTAAATACTAAGGCTGGGAATGTGAATACAATCAAACTAGCAAGGGCAATGATCACAAATCAGTCATAACGTGGCTAATAGACTAGCGTATCTGTTTATGTAGCAAGCTAAAAACACAGAGCCTAACGTTAGCTCGATAGCTAGCTAGCTGCTAGGAAGATGTCATGCCATTGGAGGAGTGGGGAAGTGACTGACCTTTTCCCCTCATCATTTTTTTGGTGGCTATACACAGAGATGCAGGTGTGATTTGGTTAGCTAGCAAGAACTTGGAAGTTGGATATAAACGTTTTGTTTCACACATTTTATTGCCCGAAATGACTGGTAAGGCCTTCCAGATTGTAGACTTGCCTTCGGTGACGGGAAAAGTTTCTGGGAAATAGGTCAACCAGAGGGCTGGTAAATATGTTTTCTGGTTACGGGATGCGGCCTTCAGCGACGGGAGATGAATGTGTAGCGTTACAGGTCTCCCGAAGCGAAGAGGCTAGCAGTGCCGGTGCATCAGAGAGACAACATTTCACAGTCTCACTACTGTTTTGAAGTTGAATGTAATGTTTATCAGTTGTCTACAGATGTACTAATATTCAGACACATTCAGTTGTTGCTATCTTTATAATTGTTACTATGGTGTGAACAGGAAATACAATTTGGTTTTTGATTGAAATAATACATTGAAGACAAGGTTATTCAGTAGAATAGTACAGAGTCCCCGTGTAGCTCAGTTGGTAGAGCATGGCGCTTGCAACGCCAGGGTTGTGGGTTCGTTTCCCACGGGGGGCCAGTATGAAAATGTACGCACTCACTAACTGTAAGTCGCTCTGGATAAGAGCGTCTGCTAAATGACTAAAATGTAAATAGTGCTGCCTAACACAAACTGCAACCTTATACTAGATGGATTTAGTCAATTATGCATTTATTTGAATTTTCTGAAATCTGCTATAGGTAATGTACACTTAAAAGTGTGCAGTTGTCTAATGTGAAAATAATTGTTTTGTCAAGTCTTAGCTACCTGATCTATTGAAATTAGATTGAATAAGAAAAAATATATATTTTAGAGAATAAAGAAAGTGCAGGAACTGTCAAGACAATAACTTTTTATGTCCGTTTCTCTTTATTACTACAGGACGACTAGAATTACATCTGAGGCCGGTAACATCAACAGTGAGGACAAACCCAGCCTGCCTCTCTCCTTCCAGTCCAAACCTACAGTCACTGGGTCCTGATTGTGACAGTGGAGCCCAGTTTGCACTGCAGGATCCAGAGATGGCATCAGTGAAGCTGGAAGACTGCAGTCAAACACTGGAGCTGAACGTCATCAACATTAAAGATGAAGAGGAGGAGGAGGAGATTGGTAAATCTGTTTGTCACGGTAACTTCTAGATAGAACCTGTACTTATCTTCATAAGTTAGACCTCCATAAGTTATGACCCAGGAGTAAGAGCAGAAAAGTATTCAGACCCCTTCACTTTTTCCACATATTGTTACGTTACAGCCTTATTCTAAAATGGATTAAATGTTGTTGTTTTTTTCATCAATCTACACACAATACCCCATAATGACAAAGCAAAAACAGGTTTTTAGACAGGCTCTATCTAGGGGTCAAAACGCAGACTATCCCAAAAAAAAGCTGTGTTTTAAACCCATTTCACCTGCGTTTTATATTGAAAGTAAAGTGTTTCTTGTTTCAATAGAATGATCAGGGACGTGCAACTGTAGTTCGTTTTCCTTCGCAAAAAAAGCACATTAGTGCAACACGTTCGGCAGAATATAGCTTCATTTTCATCGGATGACAACAGAAGTGCAGTGCTAATTGATAATTGGCTAGCAGCCACACAAGTAAATGAGCTTACAATGAAAAAACAAAGTATTTTTTGGGAAAAACAATGCCTGGCCATCATTTTTTGAATTTATATCATAGACAAAATGTAGCCAGCTATATTTTCTAATCTAATGTGTTGCTTGAAGTTAATCTTGCATTTTACCTGAGAAAATTTGCCACAGTGAGGGGGGAAAAAGTATTTGATCCCCTGCTGATTTTGTACGTTTGCCCACTGACAAAGAAATGATCAGTCTATAATTTTAATGGTAGGTTTATTTGAACAGTGAGAGTCAGAATAACAACAAACAAATCCAGAAAAACGCATGTAAAAAATGTTATAAATTGATTTGCATTTTAATGAGGGAAATAAGTATTTGACCCCCTCTCAATCAGAAAGATTTCTGGCTCCCAGGTGTCTTTTATACAGGTAACGAGCTGAGATTAGAGCACACTCTTAAAGGGAGTGCTCCTAATCTCAGTTTGTTACCTGTATAAAAGACACCTGTCCACAGAAGCAATCAATCAATCAGATTCCAAACTCTCCACCATGGCCAAGACCAAAGAGCTCTCCAAGGATGTCAGGGACAAGATTGAAGACCTACACAAGGCTGGAATGGGCTACAAGACCATCGCCAAGCAGCTTTGTGAGAAGGTGACAACAGTTGGTGCGATTATTCGCAAATGGAAGAAACACAAAAGAACTGTCAATCACCCTCGGCCTGGGGCTCCATGCAAGATCTCACCTCGTGGAGTTGCAATGATCATGAGAACGGTGAGGAATCAGCCCAGAACTACACGGGAGGATCTTGTCAATGATCTCAAGGCAGCTGGGACCATAGTCACCAAGAAAACAATTGGTAACACACTACGCCGTGAAGGACTGAAATCCTGCAGCGCCCGCAAGGTCCCCCTGCTCAAGAAAGCACATATACAGGGCCGTCTGAAGTTTGCCAATGAACATCTGAATGATTCAGAGGAGAACTGGGTGTTGTGGTCAGATGAGACCAAAATCGAGCTTTTTGGCATCAACTCAACTCGCCGTGTTTGGATGAGGAGGAATGCTGCCTATGACCCCAAGAACACCATCCCCACCGTCAAACATGGAGGTGGAAACATTATGCTTTGGGGGTGTTTTTCTGCTAAGGGGACAGGACAACTTCACCACATCAAAGGGACGATGGACGGGGCCATGTACCGTCAAATCTTGGATGAGAACCTCCTTCCCTCAGCCAGGGTGTTGAAAATGGGTTTTGGATGGGTATTCCAGCATGGCAATGACCCAAAACACACGGCCAAGGCAACAAAGGAGTGGCTCAAGAAGAAGCACATTAAGGTCCTGGAGTGGCCTAGCCAGTCTCCAGACCTTAATCCCATAGGAAATCTGTGGAAGGAGCTGAAGGTTTGAGTTACCAAAAAACTTCAGCCTCGAAACCTTAATGACTTGGAGAAGATCTGCAAAGATGAGTGGGACAAAATCCCTCCTGAGATGTGTGCAAACCTGGTGGCCAACTACAAGAAACGTCTGACCTCTGTGATTGCCAACAGGGGTTTTGCCACCAAGTACTAAGTCATGTTTTGCAGAGGGGTCAAATGCTTATTTCCCTCATTAAAATGCACACATCAGTCAGAGCGCTGCCTGCTTTTTGTGAATTCTCATCCGAGTGGAGAAGTGGACAACTGTGGCACATGATACAATAAGAAGTGTAAGAAATAATAAGAAATATAATATAAAATAATAAAATAAGAAGCATTTTAGATCTGTGTCTACAAAACGCAACAAGACATTTCCTATGCGTTTTTTTTTTTTTTTCTGCGTGAAAAATTCAGAATTCTGCGTTAACGTGACACCTTCTATCTAAGTTTGTTTTGGTATTTCAAACTTTCCACTGCATGAAAAGTCGCAGTACTGTTTTATGATTCACTGTTTCCATGAGAAGGTAGATGTTATTTAATGCTACTGAGACTTGCATGGTTTGACACCAGTATTGCCAGCATGTGTTTTATTCGCTGGGCTATCTGGAGTGATCAGAGAGTAGACTAAAAAAGTGAAGTAGACAAACTGCCAGTGTTTAGAAGTTCTATGAAAATGAGTCTATGTACAGTGGTTTGCGAAAGGATTCACCCCCCTTGGCATTTTTCCTATTTTATTGCCTTACAACCTGGAATTAAAATGGATTTTTTGGGGGGTTTGTATAATTTGATTTACACAACAAAACCACTTTGAAGATGCAAAATATTTTTTATTGTAAAACAAACAAGAAATAAGACAAAAAAACAGAACTTGAGCGTGCATGACTATTCACCCCCCCCCCCCCCCCCCAAAGTCAATACTTTTTAGAGCCGCCTTTTGCAGCATTTACAGCTGCAAGTCTCTTGGGGTATGTCTCTATAAGCTTGGCACATCTAGCCACTGGGATTTTTGCCCATTCTTCAAGGCAAAACTGCTCCAGCTCCTTCAAGTTGGATGGGTTCCGCTTGTGTACAGAAATCTTTAAGTCATACCACAGATTCTCAATTGGATTGAGGTCTGGGCTTTGACTAGGCCATTCCAATACATTTAAATGTTTCCCCTTAAACCACTCGAGTGTTGCTTTAGCAGTATGCTTAGGGTCATTGTCCTGCTGGAAGGTGAACCTCCGTCCCAGTCTCAAATCTCTAGAAGACTGAAACAGGTTTCCCTCAAGAATTTCCCTGTATTTAGCGCCATCCATCATTCCTTCAATTCTGACCAGTTTCCCAGTCCCTGCCGATGGAAAAACATCCCCACAGCATGATGCTGCCACCACCATGCTTCACTGTGGGGATGGTGTTCTCGGGGTGATGAGAGGTGTTGGGTTTGCGCCAGACATAGCGTTTTCCTTGATGGCTAAAAAGCTCAATTTTAGTCTCATCTGACCAGAGTACCTTCTTCCATATGTTTGCGGAGTATCCCACATGGCTTTTGGCGAACACCAAACGTGTTTGCTTATTTTTTGCTTTAACCAATGACTTTTTTTCTAGCCACTCTTCCGTAAAGCCCAGCTCTGTGGAGTGTACGGCATAAAGTGGTCCTATGGCCAGATACTCCAAATCTCCGCTGTGGAGCTTTGCAGCTCCTTCAGGGTTATCTTTGGTCTCTTTGTTGCCTCTCTGATTAATGCTCTCCTTGCCTGGTCTGTGAGTTTTGGTGGGCGGCCCTCCCTTGGCAGGTTTGATGTGGTGCCATATTCTTTCCATTTTTTAATAATGGATTTAATGGTGTTCCGTGGGATGTTCATAGTTTCAGATTTTTTTTTATAACCCAACCCTGATCTGTACTTCTCCACAACTTTGTCCCTGACCTGTTTTGAGAGCTCATTGGTCTTCATGGTGCCGCTTGCTTGGTGGTGTTGCAGACTCTGGGACCTTTTCAGAACAGGTGTATATATACTGAGATCATGTGACACTTAAATGAAGTCCACCTGTGTGCAATCTAACTAATTATGTGACTTCTGAAGGTAATTGGTTGCACCAGATCTTATTTAGGGGCTTCATAGCAAAGGGGGTGAATACATATGCACGCACCACTTTTCCGTTATTTTCTGAAACAAGTAATTTTTTTCACTTCACCAAGTTCGACTATTTTATGTATGTCCATTACATGAAATCCAAAAAGAAATCCATAGAAATTGCAGGTTGTAATGCAACAAAATAGGAAAAACGTCAAGGGGGATGAATACTTTTGCAAGGCACTGTAGTTACTAACCCTTGTGATAATTTTCACCCCTTTTTTCCCTCGACTATCACCCACTTTTAGAATAGTTTTATTCTCCTTTGTATTGTACATCCTACTGATATGAATACATATGTCACCCGGTACAGCCAGAAGAGGATATGAAGTCATATGTATATAACGCCAACTGACTGGTTCTTCTGATGTTGTTCACACAGGAGACCATGTTGAGACATTCTCTACATCCAGAGAGCAACAGCAGGAAGATCACAGAGCTAAGAGGTCTCACCACTGCCCACATTGTGAGGAGATTTTCCCATTTCTATCAAAGCTAAAAATACACCTACAAATACACACAGGCGAGAATCTGTATTCCTGTACTGAATGTCGAAAGAGATTCACAACATCACAATCTCTGACAGTTCATCAGAGAGTGCACACAGGAGAAAAGCCTTTCTCCTGCTCTGACTGTGGGAAGAGTTTCTCTCGACTGAGCCATTTAAAAAGACACCAAAGTATACATAAAGGAGAGAAGCCTTACTGCTGCTCTGATTGTGGGGAGAGTTTTGCTCAACTGGGGACTTTAAAAAAACACCAACGTATTCACACAGGAGAGAAGCCTTACTCCTGCTCTGACTGTGGGAAGAATTTCTCCCGATTGGATACCTTAAAAACACATGAACGTATACATACAGGAGAGAAGCTTTACTCCTGTTCTCACTGTGGAAAATGCTTCACAACATCAACTGAGCTAAAAGTTCATCAGCGAACTCACACAGGAGAGAAGCCTTACTCCTGCTCTGACTGTGGGGCAAGTTTCTCTCGACTGGGCCACTTAAAAACACATGAAAGTATACATACAGGAGAGAAGCCTTATTACTGCGCTGACTGTGTAAAATTCTTCACAACATCAACTGAGCTAAAAGTTCATCAGAGAACACACACAGGAGAGAAGCCTTACTTCTGCTCTGACTGCGGGGCAAGGTTCTCGCAACTGGGCAACCTAAAAACACATGAACGTATACACACAGGAGAGAAGCCTTATTACTGCTCTGACTGTAGAAAATGTTTTAAAACATCAACTGGGCTAAAAGTTCATCAGAGAACACACACAGGAGAGAAGCCTTACACCTGCTCTCACTGTGGGGTGAGTTTCTCTCGACTGGGACACTTAAAAACACATGAACGTATACATACAAGAGAGAAGCCTTAAACCTGCTCTCACTGTGGGGTGAGTTTCTCTCAACTGGGACACTTAAAAACACACCAACGTATACATACAAGAGAAGCCTTACTCCTGCTCTGGCTGTGGAAAGAGTTTCTCTCGACTTGGCCACTTTTAAAACACATGAACGTATACACACAGGAGAGAAGCCTTACTACTGCTCTGGGGTGCGGCGTCCATGTCAGCCAGTGATTGTCATACAAATAACTACCGGTCTCCATGGTAACTGACCGGTAATTAACCAAAACATGTTTAGCATCTCCTGGCTCCATGCATAGCCTACAAGCCACTGATGTGGACCTTTTTTGAAACAATATACATTTTTAAAAAGTATAATAAATCCATTTAATATAGCCTACACCATCACAATAAATCCATTATTTATTTTAGACAGGTCTAAAGAAACATGATATGAAGAAAATGTAGTCTATTTCAGAAGAACAGAATAGCATACTCTGAGTTGTCCTTATGTTAGGTCCTGATCTGGCTATGCCAAATGGCTGTGGGCTACACTAGTTCATTTAGCAGACAAAGATTTGCTTAGAATTCCGTTTCATTATTCTAAGCAAATTCCGTGGCATTATTTTGTGTGTATATATTTTTTTTAATAGTAAGAAGACAATTGAACATAGCTGAAATAAATAAAAATATTCCCCAAAGAATTTCAGAGGAAGTGCACACTCTTCTGTGTTCAGCGTTAAGAATCCTATATGCATAATTTAGAGTTATTTGTTTAACTTTAGTTGGGATATAAACATTAGGCTATATGTTTAGATTTTTTATACATTCTAAGGCTGCATGATGCGACTCTAAAGGCACGAGCTCTGCTCTGTTTCTTTCGCAGGCTGCACACACTTCATCAGTCTCTCGTTCACAATTTCACAAGCCCTTGACAATATTGTCAACCATCAGACTATTCTCAATTTAATCTGGTCTAAGCCTACTAATATATGTGTGGAATTATTTTTGATTTAGAACGGCCCACCAAAACAAGCGTGTCATCTGTAGCATGCACTCGAATAGTGAATGGAGGTTACGTGCGTAAATTTAATGCCAAAATATAGCCTAATACCTAATCCTGTCTATATATATATATATATATATATATATATATATATATATATATATATATATATATATATATAAATAAATAAAATCATTCAAAATAGGCTAAAGCATGATCATTAGCTTCTTGAAAAATAAATAAGTTGTGGATTGCCTACAGTCAGAAGGAAAGGCAGCGTGTGCAATTTGGGCAGATTATTGTTGAGTTGAGCCTGTCTGTGACAAGTAGAGGCCAAGCCAGGTATATCACTATTTCAAAATACAATCGTGGGAAAACATACACTACATGACCAAAAGTATGTGGACACGTGCTCGTCGAACATCTCATTCCAAAATCATGGGCATTAATATGGAGTTGGTCCCCCCCTTTGCTGCTATAACAGCCTCCACTCTTCTGGGAAGGCTTTCCACTAGATGTTGGAACATTGCTGCGGGGACTTGCTTCCATTCAGCCACGAACATTAGTGAGGTCAGGCACTGATGTTGGGCAATTAGGCCTGGCTTTTAGTCGGCATTCCAATTCATACCAAAGGTGTTCGATGGGGTTGAGGTCAGGGTTCTGTGCAGGCCGGTCAAGTTCTTCCACACAGATCTCGACAAACCATTTCAGTATGGACCTCGCTTTGAGCATGGGGGCATTGTCATGCTGAAACAGGAAAGGGTCTTCCACAAAGCTGGAAGCACAGAATCATCTAGAATGTCATTGTATGGTGTAGCGTTAAGATTTCCCTTCACTGGAATTAAGGGGCCTAGCCCGAACCATGAAAAACAGCCCCAGACCATTATTCCTCCTCCACCAAACTTTACAGTTGGCACTATGCATTGGGGCAGGTAGCGTTCTCCTGGCATCCACCAAATCCAGATTTGTCTGTCGGACTTCCAGATGGTGAAGGATGATTAATCACTGCAGAGAACATGTTTCCAGTGTTCTCTGCTCCAGTGTCCAATGGTGGTGAGCTTTACACCAATCCAGCTGACGCTTAGCATTGCGCATGGTGATCTTAGGCTTGTGTGCGGTTTGCTCGGTCATGGAAACCCATTTCATGAAGCTCCCGACGAACAGTTATTGTGCTGACGTTGCTTCCAGAGGTAGTTTGGAACTCGGCTGTGAATGTTGCAACCGAGACAATTTTTACGTGCTTCAGCGGTCCTGTTCTGTGAGCTTGTGTGGCCTACCACTTCACGGCTGGGCCGTTGCTGCTCCTAGACATTTCCACTTCACAATAACAGCACTTAGTTGACCGGGGGCAGCTCTAGCAGGGCAGAAATTTGATGAACTGACTTTTTGGAAAGGTGGCATCCTATAACGGTGCCACGTTGAAAGTCACTGAGCTCTTCAGTAAGGCCATTCTTCTGCCAATGTTTGTCTATGGAGATTGCATGGCAGTGTGCTTGATTTTTATACACCTGTCAGCATCGAGTGGATCTGAAAGAGCTAAATCACTCATTTTGAAGGGGTGTCCACATATTTTTGTGTGTCTATATAGTGTAGTTTGGAAAGCAAGTGGTTATTGCTGTGAAGAGAAGACTATGAAGAGACTAATCTGGCTTTTATTGTAGTTATCAAAATGCTCAACCTGAGCGAACAACTGCATAGCCGATCTTATTGGCACCAGAGGAGAGCATCGGCAATAACCCCTGTGAGCGCGCATATCACTATTTATCATTGTTGGGTCAATGCTGATTATAAAAATATCTGTAGGCTATGTGTTCTCCAACCGTGTTCCAGGGGCCCTAGGCCTGTAAGCTAAGGTTGGAGTTATTTCAACACTTTAGTTGTGATACAAACCTTTATCAAAACAACAAGGCCTATGGGCTAGGCTACGTGATGCGTGCGTCTATGATTTGGAAAAAGGCATGCTCTGTTTCTTGCCTTAAGACTGCACACGCTGGGCATCATTCACACGTGATAATACATCATTCACAAGTGACAGTGTTGTCAACCAATAGGAATTTTCTTAAGTTAATTTTGTCTTTACATATACTAAATAATGTGTGTGAATTATATGTCATGTTTTTCCCACGCTTCATTTTTATCAAGCCAGGTATGCTACTCCTGTTGTAAAGCGAAGCAATGTACTTAATATTAGGAACGTTGATAAATAAACAAACTGTGCATTGGGAAAGTATTCAGACCCCTTCCCTTTTTCCACATTTTGTTACATTACAGCCTTATTCTAAAATTGATTAATTTGCTTTTTTTCCTCATCAATCTATACACAATACCCCATAATGACAAAGCAAGTCAGGATCGAGGCAAAGATGAACAGAGCGAAGTACAGAGAGCTCCTTAATGAAAACCTGCTCCAGAGCACTCAGGACATCAGACTGGGGCGAAGGTTCACATTCCAACAGGACAACGACCCTAAGCACACAGCCAAGACAATGCAGGAGTGGCTTTGGGACAAGTCTCTGAATGTCCTTGAGTGGCCCAGCCAGAGCCCGGACTTGAACCCGATCGAACATCTCTGGAGAGACCTGAAAATAGCTGTGCATCGACGCTCCCCGTCCAACCTGACAGAGGTTGAGAGGATCTGCAGAGAAGAATGGAAGAAACTCCCCAAATACAGGTGTGCCAAGCTTGTAGCGTCATACCCAAGAAGACTCGAGGCTGTAATCGCTGCCAAAGGTGCTTCAACAAAGTACTGATAAAGGGTCTAAATGCTTATGTAAATGTCATATTTAAGTTACTTATTTTTAATACATTTGTTAAAACTTTTGAACTGTTTTTGTCTTGTTATTATGGGGTATTGTGTGGAGATTGGTGAGGGGGGGATAAAACAATTTAATCCATTTTTAGGATAGGGCTGTAACGTAACAAAATGTGGAAAAAGTCAAGGAGTCTGAATACTTTCCAAGTGCCTGTATATGGTATTTTATATTGTATTATGTATTGTATTGTGATACGTGGTTGGGATACGACTGATGTGTGGTTGTCTCACCTGGCTATCTTAAGATGAATGCCCAAGCTGTGGGTCGGCTCTGGATGGGAGCGTCTGCTAAATCAGGGTTTCCCAAACTTTGGTCCTGGGTGGATAATGTTTTACTACTAAATGACTTTTGTTTAATGATACACAGGCTACGAAATGACTACATGTGTTTATTAAATTGTATTTTAAAAATAGATTCATTATTTTAGCCATTGATGATTAATGTATTTGGATAACTGCAATGAACTTAATTGATCTGCTAATAAAAAATAAACCTTAGTTTTTTCGGTTATCTATACAGAAAATGCAATGTTTTTCTTTAATTCATGGCATTCAAAATCATGTGTCTATCTATCTAGTCAAAACATGTCACTACACCTCTACACATCACCATTGGGACAAGCCAATTAGCTAGGCACCAGTATTTTCTACAATGCATACAAATATATGTTTATCAGTATAAAGGATTTAGATAAGTTTCTTGTTAAATAAATGTATTTGTCTTTTTTTTTTTTATGGTACCAAAGTCCAGGGACAGCATTACCACCACAATCCCAAGAATGACCCACTATCTATTGGGGAATGGAACCAGAGAGGAAGCTTGTGTTACCTTTCTCACACCACTACAGTATTTATTTCAGCAGACCCTTTCCATCCCCCATTGTTAGAGTTCAATATATGCCCAGGACTATATTGAGGTTCAGGCTGTTGTAATGTACCATTGATTATGTAAATAGTATTGTAGAACTCCGGTATTGATGGTCCATTTGCGGGTGAGTCATTGATATGAATATTCAGAGTGAAAGACCTGAGTTCTCACGTGATGGCCGACATCAACCATAACCTTTCCTATTGTGTTAGTAAGGACCACAGCATATTGGGCAGCCATTGTTCAAAATGTGTTCATGCATACGGTACAATGGAAGGGGGTGTGGCATTCACAGGGGAACATGAAGTTGATCTCAGACTTCTATTTAGGACTGGGATCCTATCCAGAGTTGACAGATTAACAGTGAGGACAAACCCAGCCTGCCTCTCTCCTTCCACACTGATTCCAACCCTACAGTCACCTAGTCCTGATTGTGACAGTGGAGCCTAGTTTGCATTGCAGGATCTAGAGATGGCATCAGTAGACAGGTTTCCATTGGCCTAGGTTTATTTGACAAAAAAACATTTAGCAAAGAAATCATTGCAACATGATGGAAACGGCAGATACAGGAGACATTTTCTAAAGATCCACAAATGTTGTATCCATTCGACAGGGGCAGGAAAACATTGAAGAACCACAGTTCAATGCCGCGAAGGCGGAGAAATGGCACTGCTAAAATGTTTCCTGTCTCACACCCTTTCCACACCCCATTGTTAGATATATATATATATATATATATATATACACTACCAGTCAAAAGTTTAGACACACCTACTCATTCCAGGGTTTTTCTTTATTTTTACAATTATTCTACATTGTCTCACACCCTTTCCACGTCCCTATTATTCTACATTGTAGAATAATAGTGAAGACATCAAAACTATGAAATAACACATATGGAATCATGTAGTATCCAAAAAAGTGTTAAAACAAATCAAAATGTATTTTATATTTGAGATTCTTCAAAGTAGCCGCCCGTTGCCTTGATGACAGCTTTGCACACTCTTGGCATTCTCTCAACCAGCTTCATGAGGTAGTCACCTGGAATGCATTTCAATTAACAGGTGTGCCTTGTTAAAAGTTCATTTGTTTAATTTATTTCCTTCTTAATGCGTTTGAGCCAATCAGTTGTGCTGTGACAAGGTAGGGGGTATACAGAAGATAGCCCTATTTGGTCCAAGTCCATATTATGGCAAGAACAGCTCAAATAAGCAAAGAGAAATGACAGTCCATCATTACTTTAAGACATGAAGGTCAGTCAATCCGGAAAACTTCAAGAACTTTGAAAGTTTCTTCAAGTGCAGTCGCAAAAACCATCAAGCGCTATGATGAAACTGGCTCTCATGAGGACTGCCACAGGAAAGGAAGACCCATAGTTACCTCTGCTGCAAAGGATAAGTTCATTAGTTAACTGCACCTCAGATTGCAGTTCAAGTCACAGACACATCTCAACATCAACTGTTCAGAGGAGACTGTGTGAATCAGGCCTTCATGATCGAATTGCTGCAAAGAAACCACTACTAAAGGACACCAATAATAAGAAGAGACTTGCTTGGGCCAAGAAACACGAGCAATGGACATCAGACCAGTAGAAATCTGTCCTTTGGTCTGATGAGTCCAAATTTGAGATTTTTGGTTCCAACCGCCGTGTCTTTGTGAGACGCAGAGTAGGTGAACGGATGATCTCCGCATGTGTGGTTCCCACCATGAAGCATGGAGGAGGAGGTGTGATGGTGTTGGGGTGCTTTGCTGGTGACATTGTCTGTGATTTATTTAGATTTCAATGCACACTTAACCAGCATGGCTACCACAGCATTCTGCAGCGAAACGCCATCCCATCTGGTTTGCGCTTAGTGGGACTATCATTTGTTTTTCAACAGGACAATGACCCAAAACACACCTCCAGGCTGTGTAAGGGCTATTTTTACCAAGGAGAGTGATGGAGTGCTGCATCAGATGACCTGGCCTCCACAATCACCCGACCTCAACCCAATTGAGATGGTTTGGGATGAGTTGGACCAACAGGTGAAGGAAAAGCAGCCAACAGGTGCTCGGCAAATGTGGGAACTCCTTCAAGATGGTTGGAAAAGCATTCCTCATGAAGCTGGTTGCGAGAATGCTAAGAGTGTGCAAAGGGCTCTCCAACCCTGTTCCTGGAGAGCTACCCTCCTGTAGGTATTTACAAAAAGTTAACATGATGCTTTTAGTACAATGTATGAACAGCATTTTATAATCATAAATAAACTTCTTTGTGTCAAAAACAGTTGAGTGGAGTATTCAGAGGTCAGTATTCAGAGTGCGGTATGAGAGAATTCAGTGGGTCTTCTTGATGTGAGACAGGAAAGAGCATGTGAAATCAAGGGCTCTGGTCAAAAGTTGTGCACTATATAGGGAATAGGGTGCTATTCAGAACGCAGCCCAGGAGAGTTTTCTCGTTAGCATTGGACGTCTCACTAAAACATGTTGAATTGTGGTATAGCTGAAGAACAGCCTCAGTCTTTGACATCATCAGTCAGTCCTCTGGATGTGACACAGGATATCATTCAGTCAGTCAGTCCTCATGATGTGACACAGGATATCATTCAGTCAGTCAGTCCTCTGGATGTGAGACAGGAAATCAGAGAATCAATCAGTCGGTCACTCAGTCCTCTTGATGTGAGACAGGAAATCAGAGAATCAATCAGTCGGTCACTCAGTCCTCTTGATGTGAGACAGGAAATCAGAGAATCAATCCGTCAGTCAGTCCTCTTGATGTGAGACAGGAAATCAGAGAATCGATCAATTAGTCAGTCAGTCAGTGCAACCTCTTGATGGGAGAAAGGAAATCAGAGAATCAATCAATTAGTTCAGTGAGTCCTCATGAATGTGAGACAGGAACATTGTTCCCCAGGTCTGACCCTGCTGTGGGACCACCAGGAGGCCTGATGAGGGTGTGTGGCCTAACTGGGGTGTGTGGCCTAACGAGCAGGTCTGGGCAAAGGTGAAGTTAGCTCCTCCTCCTGGTATTAAATCTCCGCCCATGGCCTGGTGTTTAGGACCGCCTCCACTACTTCCTGGTTGTCAGCGTGGGACCACGTGCTGGTGGAGTAGATAGCCCTGGCACCTGGGTAAAGTTCATAATGCCTTGAGTGATTCCACATGAAACCAGGGTAAAGTTCATAATGCCTTGGAGTGATTCCACATGAAACCAGGGTAAAGTTCATAATGCCTTGGAGTGATTCCACATGAAACCAGGGTAAAGTTCATAATGCCTTGGAGTGATTCCACATGAAACCAGGGTAATGTTCAAAATGCCGTCGGAGTGATTTCACATGAAACCAGGGTAAAGTTCATAATGCCGTCAGAGTGATTCCACATGAAACCAGGGTAAAGTTCATAATGCCGTCAGAGTGATTCCACATGAAACCAGGGTAAAGTTCATAATGCCGTCAGAGTGATTCCACATGAAACCAGGGTAAAGTTCATAATGCCGTCAGAGTGATTCCACATGAAACCAGGGTAAAGTTCATAATCCGTCAGAGTGATTCCACATGAAACCAGGGTAAAGTTCATAATGCCGTCGGAGTGATTCCACATGAAACCAGGGTAAAGTTCATAATGCCGTCAGAGTGATTCCACATGAAACCAGGGTAAAGTTCATAATGCCTTGGAGTGATTCCACATGAAACCAGGGTAAAGTTCATAATGCATTGGAGTGATTCCACATGAAACCAGGGTAAAGTTCATAATGCCTTGGAGTGATTCCACATGAAACCAGGGTAACGTTCATAATGCCGTCGGAGTGATTCCACATGAAACCAGGGTAAAGCTCATAATGCCTTGGAGTGATTCCACATGAAACCAGGGTAAAGTTCATAATGCCTTGGAGTGATTCCACATGAAACCAGGGTAAAGTTCATAATGCCGTCGGAGTGATTCCACATGAAACCAGGGTAAAGTTCATAATGCCTTCAGAGTGATTCCACATGAAACCAGGGTAAAGTTCATAATGCCGTCGGAGTGATTCCACATGAAACCAGGGTAAAGTTCATAATGCCTTAGAGTGATTCCACATGAAACCAGGGTAAGTCATAATGCCGTCAAGTGATCCACATGAACCAGGGAAAGTTATTGCGTCAGAGGATTCCACATGAACAGGGTAAAGTTCATAATGCCGTCAGAGTGATTCCACATGAACCAGGTAATTCATAATGCGTCAGTGATTCCAATGAAACCAGGTAAAGTTCATAATCCTTGAGTGAGTTCCTGACCAGGTTAAGTTCATATGCCTTGAGTGTTCCACATGAACCAGGTAAATTCATAATGCCTGGAGTGTTTCACATGAAACCAGTAAAGTTCAAACCTTGAGTGATTCCATGAACAGGTAACGTTCATAATGCCGCGAGTGTCCTGAAACCAGGTAAGTTCATAATGCCGTCTAAGTGATTCCATGAACAGGTAGTTCATAATGCGTCAGAGTGATTCCATGAACCAGGGGTAGTTCATAATGCCGTCAGAGTGATTCCACATAACCAGGGTAAAGTTCAAATCCTTGAGTGATTCCCTGAACCAGTGTAAAGTTCAAATGCTGGGTGTTCACAGAAACAGGGTAAGTTCATAATGCTTGAGTGATTCCCATGAACCGGGTAAGTCATAATGCGTCAGGTGATTCCACATGAAACCAGGTAATTCATAGCCTTGAGTGTTCCACATGAAACCAGGTAAAGTTCATATGCCGTCAGAGTGATCCCCATGAACCAGGGTAAGTTCTAATGCGTCGAGTGATTCCACATGAAACAGGGAGTTCATAACCGTCAGAGTGATCCACATGAACCAGGGTAAGTTTCATAATGCCTTGGAGTATTCCACATGAACCAGGTAGTCAAATGCTTGGAGTGTTTCCAATGACCAGGGTAGTTCATAATGCTTGAGTGATTCCAATGAACCGGTAAAGTTCATATCTCAGAGTGATTCCCATAACCAGGTAAGTTCATATCCTTGGAGTGATCCAATGAACCGGTAAGTTCATAATGCCGTCAGAGTTGATTCCAATGAAACCAGGGTAAAGTTCAAGAGAACATAAAGTTCATAATGCCGGAGATTTTCAAATGGTGAGTGATTCACATGAAACCAGGGTAATATTCATAATGCCGTCAAGTTTGACAATATAATTGACATGAACCGGGTTGTATATCCTTCGAGTGATTCCACATGAAATGAGGTTAAATTCATAATGCCGTCAGAGTGATCCACATGAAACCAGAGTAAATTGCAATTATGGTCGGAGTATTCACATGAAACCAGGTAAAGTTCATATGCCGTCAGAGTGATTCCCTGAAACCAGGGTAAGTTCATATGCCGTCAGAGTGATTCCACATGAACCAGGGTAAGTCAATGCGTCGGAGTGATTCCACATGACACCAGGGTAAAAAAGAAGAACATGATTTTGGGGATTTTCAGGACATTTAATGGGGGATGGATTGTTGACATATAATTGACATTTGTATCTAAAAGCATAATTGATAAATAATTCATAGAAGTTTGCATATTTATGACATTTCGGCCTTCTCTAAGACCATAATATTTCATCTGCAGGTGCTACAAATCAAAAACTTGGTGTCATACGAAGCTTTACCGCTTGCTCTGTAATACGAGTCGTATTCAACTAGAGACCCTTTTTGTTATACTTTTTAATTGTTTCATTTAGTGTGTTATTGTGTTTTGTTGGGTGTTAGTAAGAAAGTCCCTTTGACGTGTATCCAGTGGCGCCGCCACCTAGTGTCTGCTTTGAACAACTGAAAGCTCCACAGGTCCAACAGGAGCTGGTAGCTCGTTTTTTTTCCAGAGTTCCCAGTTGTCTTGAACTCACTGAAGTCTGAGATTTCCCCAGTTCCGAGATTCCAGTTGTTTTGAAAGTGGCAGAAGTCATGCTGGATTGACAGCATGGCCAATGTTGAATGTTTATCCTTTTCAGCTTGGAAAAGAGACCCTTAAACCCAGACTTGGACCACACATTTGCTAGTGATTGCTTTGCAATGCTTGCAGTTATCCACTGATTCCTTCCAAACCACTCATTGTTGAATTTGCAATTTCCAACTTGTTGTGTAATGTTTATGTCCAATGGCCACCGATACCGTTTTATCTATAATTTCCCTTCATAATGTCTCTTCATATGACAAGGATTTGACAGTAGATTGTCGACTTGATTCATGGTGATGACTGCTAGCTTGCTAGCTAAGATTTTGAAAGTATGATGTTGACATGATCAGTCCAATCAAAGCTCCTGTAGATATAAGGTGATTTGACGTCATTTTATCTGTGGCCAATGACCTTGAGCCTTCTTGGATGGGCACTTCTAATGTATCTCAATGGCAGCACCCAAGGCTGAAACACCTGCATTTTAGAGCTGCCTTACTCAAGAAAGCAAAAAAGAGACCATGTTTGTATGCAGCTTTATTAACTCAATGATTTTTGAGTGATTCCATCACTCAATTTATTTTTACATGGATTTTTTTTTACATTGCTTGCAAACTGATGTGACACGTATTAATGCCAAAATAACATGCAAAACAGGTGGGGCTCAAAACAGGTGAGGCTCAAAACAGGTGGGGCTCAATGACGGGTTGCACACTAGGTACAGTTGAAGTCAGAAGTTTACATACACCTTAGCCAAATACATTTAAACTCAGTTTTTCACAATTCCTGACATTTAATCCTAGTAATAATTCCCTGTCTTAGGTCAGTTAGGATCACCACTTTATTTTAAGAATGTGAAATGTCAGAATAATAGTAGAGAGAATGATTTATTTCAGCTTTTATTTATTTCATCACATTCCCAGTGGGTCAGAAGTTTACATACACTCAATTAGTATTTGACAGAGCTGGTGTAACTGAGTCAGGTTTGAAGGCCTCCTTGCTCGCACACGCCTTTTCAGTTCTGCCCACACATTTTCTATAGGATTGAGGTCAGGGCTTTATGATGGCCACTCCAATACCTTGACTTTGTTGTCCTTAAGCCATTTTGCCACAAGTTTGGAAGTATGCTTCGGGTCATTGTCCATTTGGAAGACCCATTTGCGACCAAGCTTTAACTTCCTGACTGATGTCTTGAGATGTTGCTTCAATATATCCACATAATTTTCCTTCATCATGATACCATCTATTTTGTGAAGTGCACCACTCCCTCCTGCAGCAAAGCACCCCCACAGCATGATGCTGCCACCCCCGTGCTTCACGGTTGGGATGGTGTTCTTCGGCTTGCAAGCTACCCCCTTTTTCCTCCAAACGTAAGGATGGTCATTATGGCCAAACAGTTCTATTTTTGTTTCATCAGACCACAGGACATTTCTCCAAAAAGTACGATATTTGTCCACATGTGCAGTTGCAAACCGTAGTCTGTCTTTTTTATGGCGGTTTTTGAGCAGTGGCTTCTTCCTTGCTGAGCGGCCTTTCAGGTTATGTCGATATAGGACTCGTTTTACTGTGGATATAGATACTTTTGTACCTGTTTCCTCCAGCATCTTCACAAGGTCCTTTGCTGTTGTTCTGGGATTGATTTGCACTTTTCGCACCAAAGTATGTTCATCTCTAGGAGACAGAACGCGTCTCCTTCCTGAGCGGTATGACGGCTGCGTGGTCTCATGGTGTTTATACTTGCGTACTATTGTTTGTACAGATGAACGTGGTACCTTCAGGAGTTTGGAAATTGCTCCCAAAGATGAACCAGACTTGTGGAGGTCTACAATTCTTTTTCTGAGGTCTTGGCTGATTTCTTTTGATTTTCCCATGATGTCAAGCAAAGAGGCACTGAGTTTGAAGGTAGGCCTTGAAATACATACACAGGTACACCTCCAATTGACTCAAATTATGTAAATTAGCCTATTAGAAGCTTCCAAAGCCATGACATCATTTTCTGGAATTTTCCAAGCTGTTTAAAGGCACAGTCAACTTAGTGTATGACCCACTGGAATTGTGATACAGTAAATTATAAGTGAAATAATCTGTCTGTAAACAATTGTTGGAAAAATTACTTGTGTCATGCACAAAGTAGATGTCCTAACCGACTTGCCAAAACTATAGTTTGTTAACAAGAAATTAGTGGAGTGGTTGAAAAACAAGTTTTAATGACTCCAACCCTGA